AGAACGAAAGTAAACTGCGAATTAACTGCTTAAATTAGGAAAAGCTTTAATTTCCTTATAACCTTGAAAGGCATTGACTTAGCTGCTTAAGTTGACTTAGAATTATAAGTTTGCAGAGCTGAATTCAATGGATATTCTGCTGAAGCAAAGCGCTTACTTTTGGTTGGCCAAGGGTCTAGCATATATCTCCATCGACAAGGATGCAGGAGATGTGATGAAACTTTGGCCTTGGTCTCTCTGTTGCAACTTGCAAGGGTGAGTTTTCCTCTTTTTCTTTTTTTTTTTTTAATCATAAAATTACCTCCAATATGATAACAAAGGAGATGGAAAGTTCTGTCCTGTAGCTTCTAGTGTTAGTTGCGATATGGATATGTTTAATTTTTAGTTGATAATTTTGTTTTAGATTAGGAGAGACATACAGAATAATCATTTTTAAGGGACGAAATGGTAATAGTTATTTGTTTTCTTATTTCTTAATTTGATAAAAAATATGATCAAATCTCAAAGTTAATTAATTTATTCTAAATTTGTCAAAATTAAGCTTCTTAGTTTAATTTAATTTTTTTGTTATGCTTTAGGAATTTGAAGTATACACATTGAGTGCTGAGTGAAGTTTACATTTAAGGAAAAAAGAAATCTACATACTATCGTACTAGTCCTTCCTGCTTTGTATTTTGTTTCTTATTTATTCATTTAACTTGTCTTGCAGCTCAATTATATAATATTAGAGCAATCAATTATAACAGCAATGGTAGTTGGTGGGCGAAGGAAAACTGTCTGCTTTTTGTCTACCTTTCTATCTCTGTTTCTAATATATCATTGCTTCTGACAAATGTTGAAGCTTTTGATTATCCATCAACTGTGAGGCCTCCCGTCTCTTGGAGTAACCACCTCCCAACTGACTTCAATTTTTGGGAATTAGCGGGGGAGAGACCTATCTTGGTTAATGGGAGTTTTGTGTGTGGCTTCCACTGCAAATTTGAAGGAACCGCCTGCCTCTTTGCTATTTCCATCTTCCCATCTAGTCTTGATAGGCACTCCAGCTTTTCTACACAAATGGTATGGTCTGCTAACCGAAACAAGCCGATTGGACTTGGGGCAAAATTGCAATTTTCTCGAGAAGGGGATTTAACATTGCAAGATGATCATGACACTTTGGTTTGGTCTACAAACACAACAGGTAAATTTGTTTCAGGAATGAAGTTAACTCATCAGGGTAACCTTGTACTGTTTGATAGAAACAATGACACAATTTGGCAGTCTTTTGATCATCCAACAGACTGTTTAGTTCTCGGACAGAGGCTTGTTTCTGGGCAGAAACTGAAAGCTAATATGTCAGCCACAAATTGGACGGAGGGTTTATATTCATTTTCAGTTGATAGTTTTAATGGTTGTTTTGTTGCTTCTGTAGGGTCAGATGCCACACTAGACTATTACCAATCCTCTGATTCTCAAAGAAAGAAAATGTCGCAGTTTTATGCTGAATTCAGTGACACTAATTTTGGTACTTTCACTTTTTCACAGGCTGGAGTTAGTTTTATACAATTAGGATTTGATGGGCACTTAAGGTCTTTTCGTTGGGTAGAATCAGAATGGAAGGAAGTCGATGATTTGTTTAAGGATAGACTCAATCGATGTGATTATCCACTGGCGTGTGGAGAATATGGAATTTGTTCAACGGATGGAAGATGCAGTTGCCCAGAACCAGATGAAAACCATACAATGCACTTCAAGATGATTAATTCTGATCAGCCAGATCTTGGGTGTTCTCCTTATGTAGCAGTATCTTGTAAGTCTTCTTCCCATGAAAGTCTTCTGGAGATCAAGAATGTTTCTAGCTCTGCTAGCTACCTTCGAGATAATTCTAATATAATAGACATCGAGAGCTGCAAGCAAGCCTGTTTAAACAACTGTTCTTGCAAGTATGCTGTTTTTGGAGGTTATGGTTCTTTTTCCCCGTCTACCTTGTGCTTCTTTGGATATGAAGCTTTGTCATTCAAAAGAGAAGAGGCATATTACGATTCATCTGTGTTTTTAAAGGTGCAGAGTTCAATCATAGTGCAGAGCTCTCCAGGACATTTTCCACAAAGAAAGAAAAGAAGCAAGGTGGTAGTTATACTTGCAATCACTCTAGGAGCCACTTTTATTGGCTTTCTTATCTCCACTGTCTTTTTACTACAAATTAAAAAG